ACACGCAAAACTTTCGAATCGCGAGGACACAGCGATTACGATGGGTGTATTATGGCGAGCTAAGAAAACCTTCCTGGAACAAAAAAACTAACGCTACAATGTCAACTGGCGAAAGGAGGTATGTGATACATATGAAGTCCGTATGGATATTGTCGGAAATGTCATCAGTGGTGATTCTCCCTGAATCCGCCAACGAAACCACCGTTCTCCTGCCAAGATAGTTAGCCGGATCGCGTCTGAGAACTTGAGAAAGGAGTACCTTCGTGTGTGCAGGCGGTGGCGGTCCTGGAGGCTGGTCGAGGAAGTGAGCCCATGGTTGCGTCATAATGGATCATGCTGAACTTACCGGTGCATACGTACCACCATCAGATGCGGGTGGTCTCATAGCCTATAGATGACGATGGTAAGTGTCATAGTCATCATCGTCAAAAGTGAAAGCTTACAGAGTTATTCGACCCAGGTCCATCGGGTCTATAAGGGGGCGGTGGAACAGGTGCGTTCGGTGGCGGGTATTCGTTGCTAAACTGATGCTGCGGCTGGCTAGGAGGGCCGCCCGTGAATTGCTGTTGCTGAGGTGCACCCTGTCCCCATGGCTGGTTTTGAGGGTACATCCCTGGTTGCTGCTGCGATTTGAACCATGGTCCGCCAAACATGGGCGTTGGACCTTGAGAGATGTTTCCTGCCCCGAGTCCACGACGAGCGCGTCGCTTACGGAACGCACAGCAGAACAAAAGGAGTGCGAGAAGGCATAAGACACCTGTTATCAAGACGATTACTTTGGTACAGAGTTCGGGTTGCGCAGGACTCACCAACGACTATCCCCGCTATGATTCTGGACGTATTACTTCTCCGCCGCACGACTTGAGCATCGCTGAGGGATATAAATGAGAGAACGATTAGCGTGGTATAAGTTTGCTTGGTGAGAGTCATAACGGCGTCGAGATTACGACCCCACATAAACGTTTCCAGTATATATATGGCCTCGTGACGTCACAAGAACAGAAGCTGTGCCATGACCAGCAAAAGCACCGCCACGCGTCATCTTCGCTCCTGTGCATGCATGCACTGTTAGCTACAACTGGCCGGCTCCGGGTCTCCTAAACGTAGTCGCATTGTCGTTGAGGTGATATCGCTTCCTGCCTGGGTGGAAATAGGAGGATTTATAGCTTCTTCAGCAAGGGCAGTTTCTGATGTCCTCGGTCTCACCATTAACCAAGCTAAGGCTCCGCAGCAAACTCAAACCTTCAATACTTCGAAGGGCTAAGCACCCTTGGCGCACCAGAAGCAGATCAGCCGAGCCTGCCCGCAATTACGAGTGATAAGAATATTGCTCCGTGCTCGAGCCCCAAATAGGTCAAAAGTATGATAGGTCAACACTGCGCGAAGGATTAGAGGGAATACCGCACGGTTCGAATATGGCATGCTAAGGTCGGGAGTGGGGTTCACAAATCCTGAGAGAATGTCTGTTCTACGTCGGTACTGGAAACGAATGCGGAGCTCCCGAAGCGAACTTCCACTCTGCGAGAGTGCTTGAGGTCGCATGTTTGATACCTAATTGTTATTCATCAGAACGAGGCAAAGCTAGGAACACCACACGTTAGACACCTTCGTGACCCGGCCCTGCATAATGACAAAGTTGGGATTATTGATGTTGAGCTGAACGGACTGAAGTAGTGTTTGTATGTTCGCCTGGAGGGCCTCGTGTACTCCATTGACAAGGTATTTGGAAATATTGGGAAGTGCAATCTATAGAAAATGAGTTTCAATCGCGAAAGGGTATGGCTTAGCCCACGCACCTGACGCGTCTGCCTATGGGCTTCATACCCCACCGGGCTCGTCGACTTGTCAGAGTTGTCGAATACGATGGTGACGCTGGCTTTGCACTCGAAAACGCGCTCTCAGATCCCTATATCAGGCGCGTAACGCAGTCAACGCGACCGCGCCATGTTCATGATACCCAGAACGGAACATTCCGCGTCGAGAATGTTGGACTTGCCCGAACCATGAAATCCGTGATCACGTTGAAAAAGGAGTCCCGCTGGCGTCCACAGTACGCGACGACGCAAAGTTGACAACAACATGGACGTCAAGGTGCTTGCCGACGGCCTCCGGACCCGTGAGATCATGATCGTTGATGGCTGGGGAGGGAGCGCGGACTTCAGTGTGCGAGGTCACAAACCCAAAGTCCTTCGAAGTCGTTTACGCTCTGGGAGGTCATCGATCTTTGGAGAATCGAGTGAGACGTGTGTGTCCCCGAGGAGAACTCTCGGGATACATCCAGGTGCTTCAAGCTGAGTACAATGAAACCTGAAGCAGTTTTTAGCATCCCTACGGGCTTGAGGTTTGTTAGCTATACCCAGTACCAGTCCGAGCTGCAAACGATGGAGGAATCGAGGTTTGCCGGGGCGTGCTGATGATTGACTCGAACCGGTCAGTGTTAGAGATTGCTGCGATCGAACAGTGACAACCTTAGCAGGGGATATCTAGCCGTGCTGTCCGAAGCTATAGGATGAAAAAAGGTTCCGCGAGTATCTAACGAGGGTTTGCAAAGAAGTCGAGAGATCGAAGGAAGAACCCAATTGGTCAGCATCGCAAGGGCTTGACGGCGACGATTCCAAGCGCGAGCGATTGAAAAATATCTGGCTGGGAGATCGTGTTGCATTGGCCGGGAGTCGAACCCGGATCTAGGCCAGCTTCATTTCTGATGGGAAGACCCAATGATAACCGTTACACTACCAATGCGTGATAGGGCCGTTACCACGTTCCCTGAGGATGGTCACCCCTTCTCAAAAGCCTTGCCACCAAGGTTATCCCATAGATCTGGTATCGCGAACCCACGATTATCCCGAAGCTCGAATCTCATCCGCCGTGCTGCCTCACAGGCGGAGCTCCAGGTCAGTTCTAAACGCAACACGGCCTCCGAATAACGTTGACGTTGCGGTGATAGGGCCAGATTCGGGGAACATCTAACACCTCGAGTCCAAATCTCCATCGTGGTATGCTCCATGAGATATAATTGGGCATAGATGGGATAGACATGGAAGAAGACGACACACGGGATAATGTATGACTCCGGTACACGAGATGCAGAAAGTAGACGCGTCATTGGGACAGTAGTTCGAAGTTCGAACGGACCATTGCGCTGGAGGGAAAATGGTATCGCTCTGAGGAGAAGTCATCGGCCTTATACATTTCTCATGTAATGCTACTCACCAAAGACCCATTCATAATTTCGTTCAAGACAGCAATGCTTCTTGATGAAGCCGTTGCTGAACAACCGATACCTCTGAAGACCAAGCGACACCTCCTTCGATTGCCACACCCCGAGCGCTCGTAAGTGGGAAACACTTTGCGAGTGTTAAAGCCGCGGCGCCTCCCGCTGGATCGAAGTCAACGGTGACCTCAGGCTTTTCTACGAACACCCAGACGGTGATGCGTACGGGGAAGGACGAACTGTTACACATGGCAACAAGGGCGGAATCCATGTCGACCTCCGGATCTCGTATGTAATCCTCGATCTCGTCGAGAGCATCCTGACCGAACTTCTGGGCGTTATAGTGTACTATGAGCACGGCGATGTGCTCAAGACGATTAGTGCTCGACAGACCATACGGACCCGTAATTATGTCACGAGCTGTAATTAAAAACTCTTTGCCATGATTGGCGACGAGAATTACGGAACGAAGGCGGGTTAGGAGTCGAAGATCGAGGGGGTGATGCCACGGTAGATCAGTGGCCAGTTGTATGCCTATATGTTGTCAAGGCATGTCAGATGCTGAAAATCTAGCGCAGAATATCAATGGTCACTCATACCAAATCTCCAATCCGCATATTCCCAAACCAAACATTTCAGGTCGGATTTAGCCAGCTGTACGATGTGTGCAGCAGCTGCAGTCATCGCACTTTGCGATCCATACAGGTTCAACGAGCGAATGTGCGAAATCGATAAAGGAGATCGTGGTGCAGTAAGATATTGTACGAGGTCTTGCGAAGCGGGGCCGCCAATTACAAGAGATTCGAGCTGACGTGACGGGGATGAAATAGGGAGGGGAACGGCAGGTTTGCTATGTCTGAGTGTTGTGTCTCCATCCACAAGGCCGAGGCGTTTCAATCCAGGGGACTTGGAGATGTAATCAAGAGGAATGTTGCAGTTACACCAAGGGAAAAAGATGAACGTATGCAGACTCGGTACCTGCGTAAGCCGCAGGATTGCCTGGCCAAGGCGAGGAGGTAGAAGGTGATTATCGCCTGACGAAATACGCGTGTTTAGGAAGCGCATCTCTTGCAGATTACTGTGCTCATTGAACATCTCGAGTAGCCTAGATATATGTTCGCTATAATCGGTCTCCCCGTGGTCGGATCCGACAGCTTCAACGATGCGAAGTTTCTTGATGTAGTTCAGGATATTTGGATGGTCAGAGACCACCTCGCAGAGCCGCTGGCATTGTTTTCCATTCCTCATACTGCGGTGAGAGAGGGAGATCTCTGAGAAAAGGCGTTTTCGAGCCGGACGCAAGCATGAGCGCGACACAAGTGCGCATTGTCGCAGAGTCGAGATGTCGGTGGGGAGGGAAAACTGGTCGATTATGGAATCAACGATATCCTGGGGCATATGAGCCGAGATCATGGTCCTCTGCAGATTCAAATTCGTGGTCCATATCAACGCAAGATGCGACGGCCTTGTGAATGTACGGTGGAGCATGTGCCCGGACCGCGAGACGTGCAGGGGAATCACGTGGAAGGTCCCGGGCTCCTCACGCCAGGTCCCGTACGTCACCGTGGGATCTGTACAGGTGGCATTTTCGTCGGTGGCCATTCTCGAGACATTATGTAACGTCATTCGTGCATTGCTGCAACGGACCCAATGGTAACCTTCAAACGTCACAGTGACAGTACAGTTGCACGCACCTTAAGGCTCGGCTTTTGGATTTACCAGCAACCGAGCGAAGACAAGTGGACGAAGCGCCAATCGGATAGTGAAGACAGTTGGCATCGACATCGGTGAGATGGCCGAGCGGTCTAAGGCGCCAGACTAAGGACCAAAGCAGTCGCTGCTTCCAAGAGAGGGGGGATTCACATCCCATCCTGTTATCTGGTCCTCCGGGGCGTGGGTTCGAATCCCACTCTCATCACTGTTTTTGTGCTCCACAGCTTGCTCCGAAATACCCTCCGAAATACCTTCTTTCACTGGGTATACCGTATTTTAGATTCTTCCTGACCGCATAGTGACGACAACCTCAAATGTCATCGAAATGCTATCTAGAGCATGTACGTGTATGCAGAACATGGAGTAGGCTCGCTGGGATGATCGAGTTACTTAGGGTAACCCGACCTACACTGTATTGAAAATATACTCCTTCAAAATATCGTCGTCAGTCAAAGACTGAGCTCGCATGGCTTTCTCGACTCCCCGGGAATTCTCCGCTTCCAGCGACCCATCAATGCGCCATCTCTCTTTTTCCAGTAGACCAAGCTTCTCCTTCCCGCTAGTGGTGTCGATGGTGGTGACAGGACCAGGGAAGGGAGTTATCTGCGCGTCGAGCGGCGGAAGACGGGCCTTCAGCTCGGGGCGGTTGTCATGCAAGTACTTGAGGGTGTCCTGCCGAAACATGAAGCCGCCACCAATGAGGAAGCGTTCATCTTGAACATTGCTCCTGGCCTTGGGTACGTTCAGCGATGCGAGGTGGGCGTGCGCGACGTCATGGATGTGGCAGAACAAGGGAGGGTGTGGAGGTGGAACAACTCCTTTGTCGAAGTTATAGACATTGGCGGTCGACGTCAGGGCGGTGACCTCGAGGAGCGGGAATCCCAGCGCATGCGGGCCAAAGAAAACCGGAGAATCGACGGTGGAGAAAGGTCGTGAAAAGTCAAGAATTACAGAATGGTTGGGGTATCCCTTATCGATCGCGAGACCCAAGCCCGGCTCGTTCGCTGCGAATTTTCATGAATGAGTTGGTTAACGAAGTGAGGCTTTGACGCTCCGCACCAGTAGAATAGACATTTTGACGAGTTAGGTCTAGTGGTTGGTTTGTCGACGATGAGTATCTTTGCAGAAGTTACTGGAGAAGATGATGTATAGTCTCATTAACTTCGACCATTCCTTTAGATACTGTTCGAGGGACAGTGATGCGCAAGGACGAGCGCACGCAGCCGGGAGTCTTTCGCCGCGACCCGCAGCGGTGTTGCTAGTCCACAAAAAAAGCGCAGCACATTTTTGCTAATCTCAGTCTGCGCACTAATATGACCTGAGAATAATTAGCTGAATTTTCTATACTTTGCGACTCGATCTTGGCTTACAGCGGACCGAGGCAGCTGGTTCCGCTAGAGGGAGATTTGAGGCTAAAGCTTTGCCGCAGTTCTAGCGAGTTTCGCAGCCCCAGTTGCCTTACGATACCAATCAAGTTTGAGTCAGACTTCATAAGAATTCTGAAGCCAAGCAGGTGGGCGCTCAACGCAAGTTCAGGAGTGGTGGGTGGTCATGTTATCAACCCGGCGAAAAAAGATAATGGGCGGCGTCTTCAGCGTCATTCACTTCAGAATTCAATAGACACAAATACTGTACAAAGACCCGAACTTGTCCCTTTTCGCGCCGTTCACCGACTGCTCATTTACTGCTAGTTCCGTGCCCGTTTAATGCCTGGGAGTTGATTGAGTCCAAGTATTTCAATAGGTCGGTGATCCTTTCAGCTCGTAATCATATGTTTCTCAACTTTTTACAGAACTTCCTGCCGTTCGTGCTAGCCTCTAGGACAAGGTTCTGCTGTAACGAAAGGCTGTCCAGAATATCTACACAACTACATGGTAATATGAATGGATTATTGGGGCGCGGCGGAGCTACGACACGACAGCAAGCGTTAGCAATACACCAGGTGGCCTAGTGACTCGCTCAATCACAAGTCTGGCTTCACCGATACACGTCCTTGCGGTGACCAGACAGTGAGTCGGGAGACTCTGATCTGATTCTGAATGACGCATGTATCATGCTTCGGTAGCGCTTGGCAGCATGTCCTCGTTGAAGGCGATGGATGAGGGCATGCCTTCACACGAGCTCTACACGTGGACGACCTCACGACATACTCGTGTGCTACGTTTCAGACAGCGCGCTTGCATGAACGAATATAGACCCGCACGAACTCACTTCCCTGACACATTCGCGTCTCTATATCAAGAACGCGATGGGTAAAGAATATTCACAGCGCGAATTAACGAAGGATTCGGACAGGTACACTTTGAGGAAGACCGACATGGTAATTCTGTGCGGTGCAGTCACCTCCTTCTCGTTGTATCAGCGCTTACTGTTGTTTTCAGTGTCGCAGGCTTAGTCGGCGCTGGGAAGAGCAAAGTAGGTAGACTAACGATCGGCCAAAGGCCCACATTCACGCATTCATATACTCATATTCCTATAGTTCATCAATAACCTTATGGGCGAAGATCGCATGCCCGTAGGCCACACATTGTCTGCTTGTACAACGCAGCTGGATTATGGTATCATCGATGCTATCCCAGGCCACGACCGTTTCCGAGATCGCCGCCTGGTCATCGTCGATACACCAGGGTTTGACTCGGAATCTCCTAAGAAAGATGCAGAAGATATAGGACGGATCTCTGCATGGCTTGAATCACTGTGAGTCTACTACATTCTGTAACCTCAACGCGATTAAGTGAGGATTGTAGTTTCCGCACCGGAGTTACACTTGGCGGCCTCATATACCTTCATGACATATCTCGCGATCGCTATTCATCCTTGGCCCCTATCGATAAGCTCACGCTGCGCCAATCATTCCTTCACTCAAAGGAGGCATACCAAAGAGTTATTATCGCAACTACGCATTGGGATAGCGATACCATCAGTTCCGCTGATGTTAGAAAACGTGAGGATGAATCGAGGGCAGCACGTGAAGTCGAGCTGAAGGCGACACACTGGAGGGGGGCGAATGTGTATTCATTCCGGTATACTGATACCCGTCGTGGGGCTTGGGAGATTGTCAAGACTCTGCTCAGATCTGTCGATGGCGATCCTGGTAGCGCGATCCAGCTAGGCCTCCGCACTGGAATTCAGAACCTACGAGACAAACTCCGAAGCAAAGCCGATCCTCGTAAATAATTTGAGGCGGCTCGGCAGCGCGCGATAAAGAACGACAGTGCGACTCTGAGGAATACGGACATCGTCATCCTGTGCGTTCCATGTTCTTTTGGGTTGATTGGCTCATGTACTCATGACCTTGACAGCGTCGTGGGCCTAACAGGCGCTGGGAAGAGCACGGTACGTTGAGTTCACATCAGCAGAATTCGTCTCATTCACCCAGTCGCAACCCGGTTTAGTTCATCAATGCCCTCATGAGAGTTGAAGGTCTTATGCCCGTCGGCGACAAGCTAACAGCCTGTACTACTCGGATTGATTACACTATCCTACGCTCAACCCCCGATGAACAACCCTCCCTAAATCGACGTATAGTGATTATTGACACACCGGGTTTCAATGGTTCGTACCATCAGGATAAAGAAATATGGGAACAAATCGCAACATGGCTTGGATTAGCGTAAGTACAATACAATCCGCGTAACTGTCATCCTCAACCTGATATCACAGTTCCCGCAATGGAATCACACTCGGCGGCGTCATATACCTTCACGACATCTCCGTCGATAATCGCCACTCTTCTAAACAAGTACCCGGCGCTGTTCAGACTCGCTTTATCCGGCTGCCCCACTCAGTCGCCCATTCCGAGGACGCGTTCCTTCCAGGAATCATTCTCGCCACCACCAAGTGGGACAGGGTTATTCCTCGCGAAGGTCAAGAACGTGAACATGAGTTGAAGGCGACACACTGGCGCACCTTGCTTCGCCAGGGCTCGGATATGCATCAGTTCAGGAATAGCAGAGACTACGACGGTGCTAAGAAGATTCTGGAAGTCCTCCTCAAGCACATCAAGGATAACGACACCGGCATCAAGCAAACAGCAGAAGCAGACGAAGAATCCTTCTATCGCCGTTTCCTTCGAGAAATTCTTGCATTATTCGGATCGGATGGAGGTTATGTTGGAGGATAAACCTGGACGGCGTACCACCTGGAGGTTCGACCCATGCTACTGCACGGTTGTTTCCTCCTTCGAATACCTTAATTCACGCAGGCAGAAATGAAATTACGCATTCCACCATTTTCACTTGACCTTGTCGGGGCTTGGGTCCTGGAGATGCACCCAACCGTTGCTTCAAAATCATCATTGACCACTCAGCCTGCTTGCGGTCTTCCTCCCAGGCCACGCGACGTAGCATCGAACAAGCCAAGAGGGTGGCAGCGGACTGGGTATCCTAGTAAGACTGTATTAGAGGTAGAATATGAGTGACGCATGTACATGAAGGATGCCTCGTCGGCGTGGTGCGAGGATGTCTACAGGTATCAAGTATACATGCATACAGCCATCGCGCGGAATAGATGTCACTCGTAAGTTGAGAAAGCAAGACCAAGAGAAGGCAAAATTGAAGAAAACAGAAGCGTCTGTATACCGCCGTCCAAATCCAGTATGTCAATAACCATAAATCACGTATCGTGAAACGCTTATGAGAAGAACACCGCCGAGAACACCACACCCATCAGCGTCGCCACGCCCGAAACCGCAATCGTCCCAGCAGCATTCCCAGTCGACCCCGCCCCCGCCGCCGTCCCCGTCCCCGTCGCCTTCGTCGTCTGCCCCGCACTCCCCGTCCCCGTCGCAGTCGCAGTCGGCCCCGTCTTCGTCAAATCCTCCGGCGCCGTCACCGTCGCCAGCGCCGCATACAACACCGAGCTCGTATACGGCGTACAATTCGAGCTCGCCGGCACCCTCGCCGTATACGGCATCGTGCTGATCGCGCCCAAGCTCTCCGGTGGCTGCTTATACGTCTGCGTGACGCCGTTCTCGACGTAGATGCCGGGGAAGTCCTGGTTCTCGCCGTCGCAGGACTCGAAGGTGCCGTTTTGGGCGGTGTTGGGGGCGTTGTAGGCGCAGCCGATGCGGTCGTAGATGTGTTCGCAGAATTTGGCGGCGTTGGGCTTGGAGGGGTCGCAGGCTTTGATGCAGAAGGCGTGTCCGCCGATGAAGCTGGAGGAGAGGAGGGGAGGGTTTAGAGGACGGGAATGGGGAGGAGGGAG